AAAATTTCACATTTATTTTATTTCGTGTGCTCTAAAATGTTTCCGCCCTTGATTTAATTTGTTGCGTTGCATTTAGCATTCATTAATTTACTTGTTGAATACCTTCTATACTTCTTATTCGTATCATATTCCGAAAATAAAATTTAATTGAAGTTCTGAATAAACAAAAGGTAAAAATTTCCTAATATAATAGTTTAAATATGAATTTTTAAAAAACTAAATAAATAAGTGAGAAAAAAGTTAAGAAGAAATTAAAGAAATATTGCAGTCATAATAAGTTAGAAACGAAACACCCGAAGCGATAATTGGGACGTAGCGAAAGAGACACGAAATCCTTAGGTCCGCCACGCAAGGAAGTTTTCGAGAATATGCCGTGAGAGAAAAACTCAATTAAAGTTGGCAATACACTGCTGGAGAGAAACGGTCGATATAAATGACACGCTTAAAAAGTAGGCACGACAGGAAGAATAGTAATAAGGTAATTTTCCAATTCGAGCTATTTTTAAACCGCGACAGTATTTATTATTGAAACGTGTTGCTCGCCATTAAAACCGACAGAAATAAAAGCAATTCTTAATGTCACACCACCGCGGATTATCGATCCTCTTTAAAATCCTCATCGTCTGAAAGTTAACAACTTTCATGGCTACACTTAACAGCGTTTTTATCATATTTTAAAAGACTGTATTACACTTTGGTATAGTTTATGCTTCACTGGTGCTCATACGCGTCAAAAAATACAGCCTTTAATGTAAGTAAAATGCTTTATCATAAACAAACTAATTAATAATAGCACAGCAGCCTCCTCGATTTTTCTGGCCTGCACAGTGTAACGTATATACAGACTCGTATATGTTTTTAACAGTTAAAAATGTAGAGAATTTTTTAATGGAAAAAATGGATAGTTTTTTGAATTGCAAAAATTTTAATATGATATATATAATATTTTGAACACACTGGCGTAGTTTGTCGACTTATTTGCGGAACACCCTGTATATAGATGAACAAAATAATACAACACGTAACGCAATTAACATTACAATGACTTTTCTCAAGTTGTAATTTGACACAGTTGTTCATTGAAGTTACTAGATGTAATATCAAATAGGAAACTTACGATCACGATGAGGGTCGACATTGTGTGGCGTTGTCGAACTGTCTGCATCACCTTCACCGTCTAATTCGTAGTAAATCCTATCGGTTCCACCGTTTACCTCCTTCACGCCATTCACACTTACCAGATCCTCCATCCTCCTACAAACATTTATGTTTTCATTTTTGTCTACATACAATTTCATTTCATTTCATAGTAAGTACATATACGCCGTGAAAAAGATACGAATATTAATGTTAAGAGTATATGTTAATAATAAATAATTAAGGTTCAGTTTATCTGTGAATGCATTTAAGTATACTAAATTATGTTTATAGCGATATATAATATAATATCCTATTTTATTATCACTACGAGAAATACATAATAAAACAAAAAAATCATAGGAACGGTAATACAGCAAAAGGAAAAAGTGTTGCAAGCGATTCCACTCATATACAATCTATTATGTGTATTTTAATTTTTAGTTAATTATATTGAGACGCTGATTAATCAAAACCCATGTTATTATAAATAAATCGAGTGAAGGAATTCTCGATAGTAACGAAGAATAATATTAATGTTCGTTTTCATATGAAACTGATTTTCTACTCTACATATTTAAGCAGAGTAATGGATTGTGCAGGAAATAAATCAAGCTTGTTAAAAGTTCGGGGTCAGTTGGTAGAACTGTGATGAATACACACTTGGATTATATTTAGAAACTATATTATTTTGTATTTAGAAATAAATTTATAACACAATTTATAGGGGATAATAAATTATAAATCGAGAACTTAATTAATCGTTAAATTCAAATATATTTGATACAATTTAATGGAAAATATTAGCCATTCGAACTATTACGCAGTAACTTTTAAGTCTATAAAACGACGTATTTTATTTTGTTATCAGAACTGTTCAAATTTTTAATAAACATATTTCAATTAATGTTAAAAACACCAAAAATAAATACAAATATATAATAATTAGTAATATATCATATATGTATATTATTACGTGAATAAAATAAAACAGTAACAAATCGATTCATTCTTGTTTCAACTTTTACCGAAAAAAATGCATAATGTTATTGATATACTTACAACAGTAGGATAAATTGTTATAAATGTAAATGTAAAAACACAAATACCACTTAGTTATCTTACACTCTCTTTTCTTCGAGCTTAACGGATAAAACGTCAGAGTGCGTTTTCTCTTTCAATGGACTCAGAAATACGCCTGATGATATCAACAAACTGCTACCGTCAACTATATATGTGCGTTAAACATTAATCGAAAGAATCACGAAGCACTGTTTCTTTAACATCTGATAATCGGATAATTGTATGTATTCATGGAAGCGTTCAGTTTGCCTTTTCAAGCAACTTTGCATATAAATACAACAAGGTTGCGACGTCGTTGCTTTCTGGTAGATACGAGAAAAAGATTCGCGTATATTCACGTTTATTATTGAAGGATCACTAGTTGATTTGAAAAATAAGAACAAAAATATCGTTGATTTGTTCACGATACACTTCTTGATGGAAGAAAACACAAAACGCACATAAAACTTCCGGCAGGCTGGAGCGTGCTGTTAGCGACCAACTGTCACTGCACGTTGTAGTCACGATGTGTCGTATAGGATCGTATCTACCCTGTTAGGGGCCTTCGGCAAACTCCACGAATCAACCGAACTCGTTCAAAAGTATAAAAACAATGATGAATTAATTGACTAGGTTCGACAAAAATCATCTCTGCTTTATCTTAATTCAAAAATTGTAATTAATTTATAGTTAACACTGTTTCCACAGCTTTCTCAACGTTTCAACGAACATAACAAAATAACCTCACTTGTACATGTAAACTTCATTCTTTCATTATTGTACAGTACACGGAATAAACAGAAAAAACTTGAGAATTTTCACAATAACGTATATCGCAACTTTTGCAATTTTAAAATATCTCGTTCATTAATAAATATAAAAATTTGATACTTTACAATGGGTACTTTAAAATTAGTGTATCTACTGTCACATACGTAATGATGGAATCATTGATTACAAAACACTAAACATATTGGCAATGTTAATACAGCAAGCAACGAAACATTTAGAAAAGTGAAAAATCTGTCACCTGTAACTTTAACAGTGCTGGAAACAAGGGAGATGTACGCGAATGAGCACGATTGGTCGAGTGGCGCGATAGTGATGTGAAGCGCGTCATACGAGCCTGGCGCAGGCTCGCGCCTGTCGATCTTGTGAAAATCCATACCGCGCAACTGGCCGTCACCGATGTATCCTTTGAACAAACTAAAAAACTTTATACATTCTTTATATAATTACTCACCAATATATAAAACCAACTAAACATTCATATAACTCCATTTGCAGGTTTCAAGTCGGACGATTAAAATCGAAACTTGCAAGTTGAAACGTATTTGAGATAAAAATTTAAAAACTGTTATCGGACGCACCGCTAAAAGAATAACACAAATACATACTGAACGAGAATAACAACGATGAAAGGATGTAATAGGAATAATTTATTACTTGTTAAGATACGTGACTTTATTACATTACACTAAACTTACATTAACGAATATACTCTAACCGTATATCTTACAGGTGTGCGTTCAGAAATAGGAAGAAACAACATTTACATAGAATTGAACTTAGATCGTTCAATTTCAGTTAAAATCAAAGTCACTCTCTGTATTCGAAACGTTCCTCTCAATCGTGCTGTCTGTATCAGAATCCAACAAAGATTTGATTACGTCCTTTGTTTTCTTCGGCTCCTTCTCAGAAGATAATTTTTCATTTTTACTTTGAACAGTATCAACTTTCTCCTCTTTTGTATCTTCGTGTTTCGACGCTTCTTGTACTACCTCTTTGTATTCTTCGTCCTGCTTATCTTCTTCTTGCGTAAGCTGTGACTGATTAGGATCGTAATCAGTATATGCGAAAGGCTGATTTGCATCGGTGTCACTTACTTGATTAGGATCGTATTGTTGCTCATAAGTGTATGCATATTCTTGATTCGCATCTTCTTGATATTGTACATTAGGTTCGTGTTCGTACTGATTTCTCGAACCGTATTGTTCACCAACGTATGCTCCGTACTGTTCATTCGACTCCTGCGCGTACTCTTGATTAATATATTCTTGGTATTCTTGATTTGGATTATTTTCGTATGTCACGTTCGGATCGTAATTCGGGTCTTGATTAGTTACATATGCCGCGTTCGGGTCATAACTTTGATCTTGATTAGTTTCGTACGAAACGTTCGGATCGTAATTTCCATCCTGATTAGCTTCGTAGGTCAAGTTTTGATCATAATTCTGCCCCTGATTGTTTTCGTACATCGCATTTTCGTCGTAATTATATTGTTCGTTCAAACCGGTATACTCTGTTTCATAATTTTGTGCGTAGTTCTGTGCTTGATTAGGGTCTTCGTAGTAATTTTCATTGGTGTATTCTTCAGTTTGCGCCACTATCTCTTGCTCATTCGTGTCAGGTACAAATTTAGTTTCATTACATTCTTCAGTTTGCTTATTGTCTAAGTCATTCCGTTCGTCAACTTGATCCTGTACCAGTTTAGTATTAATTTGCATTACATTCTCATTATTATAACTTTTGTCTTCATGTTCTAATTTTTCAGGTAAAACAGAAGTTTCGCTTGTTTCTGTTACATTTTCATGAATAGAGTCTTCTTTTTGCACAGGATACTTGGTAGTTTCTTGTCTCGATTGATCTTTTGTGATATCCGAATTTGTTTCGTTCATATTCGATTCTTCTTTAGAATTTTGCTCATTTTTGTCACTTTCCACAGTGTTTACTTTATTTGAATTTTCAATTTGCTCTACGTTATCTTGATTTAACTTAGAAGCGTCTACTACTAATTCTTTCTTACTAGACTGATCTTCAGTTTCGCCAGTTAAATTTATCTCTTTTATTCGTTTCTGCAAGCAATCTAGATCCCACGGTTCTAACTCGTCAACGACGTCAAAAGAATGTTGATCAACGTCAGATTCCTCCGCAAGATAAAAATTATCTTCTTCATTATACTCTTGCCTTTGTACATTTGTCTCCACTTGTTCCTTCTCGTTGGACGAAACATTGAAATCAACACGTTCGTTTTCTTGCATTTGGTGTAATTGCTGTTCATATTGCTCCAGTGGATGAGTGTTACTTAGGCCGGTAATATTCTGTTTCTCAAGCTTTTCAATATTTTGATGTGAATCTAATTTTGGCTCGTGTAACTTAATATCGTTGCTAATTTCGTCTTTTGCAAACGCTACCGAAGTTTCGCGTCCTTCGCGCGTATCTGCGAACGCAACGTAGTTTCTTTCTGAAATCGGAGTGTCGCTTTGCGTGCTTTCAACCAATTCGAGATTTCTATTTTTATCCACGTGCCCTTTTCCAGAATCGTTGGCATCATTTAAAACCACTGTCCTAGACACAAGATCTTCCGCCAATGCCAGAACTTTCTCGACCTCTTTAGGAAGATCTTCTTTCGGTTGATCCTCGTTCAGAAGTTCTAAATTGACATTCGACGAAGAAACATTTGGAATAACAGTCATATCCTGGTCGATTTCCTCTAAACTTTGTGTATCAAGGTCACGATGAAGCTTCCGAATTTTATCGATGTACCTATCTAACTCGTTCTCCACAATCGTCGCTGTTCTATGTTCGTCTTCTTCGTCCACAACAAGTTGTTTCGTATTGATCGGTGATCTTGTACCACTTAGACTCTTTGATGTGAAACGTTTGTGTCGTCTTATCATGTTATCGACGTCGGAAGTTGTTAATGATCGCACAGGCGTATCGTTAACAGATTTTTTCAAATAATCAGGCTTTCTCCAAGAGTAATCCGTGTAACTTGGAAATGTTCGTTTGGATAAATTTAATGATTTATTTAACGAAGGTATACCGTACACGTTTCGTTTCGCAATTACCGGCATGGTTCTATAAACTGAAGGTATTTCGTCAACATTTGACACTTGCGTTTGCATATTATCCAACGATATTTTGTCGTTCTCTTGTCGAAATGATTGCGTGGAAATTGATGATGGATGAATGTAATGCTGCGGAGTAACAGGAGTAAATCGATTTTGAGATACATCCAAGAATTTGTACGGTGACATGCTCTCGTTAGTACGTTCTGGTACTATAAAATGTGATATATTTTGAGCTGTTTCCATTCGGTCTGATGTGGGTTTGTTAAAATGTGGAACAGTTGGTTGACTTAAAGAACTCGGTTGGCATGATGATACACGTGGTACGTGTAAATTTGGATCAATCGGAACGTACGGTTGTTTATGTTGGAAAATTTGTGACGATACATTCTGAGTTGGTGATTGTTGAATATCGTTTTGTAAAATTGTCGAATACATTCGTGAAGCATTTTGACTTCCGTTCACCAGCTGATTTAAATTTTTCTGTTGTACGGTACTCGGTTGGTAATTATTGTAATACGTATTTTGTGCTGATTTAGTGAAGCTCGTCGCTGAAGGAGAGATCGACCAATTCGTTTGGTCGTTTAACAGCCACATTTGAGGTGACGGAGTATTTTTTATTTCGGAAGATAAATGAATTGGTTCCACAGTCGCATCTTTCCTCAAATATCTACTTTCGCCTTGAATTGGTATATTGTTGTCGTCGATAATACTTTCCGATTGAATGGGAACAGTATAAATGCGACGAAGATAAGCTTCATATTGTTTCTGAAAAATAACCAGGTATTCTCCGTTGTAATAACGTATTTTTAACGGTATACTTCACGTTTCAAATACGTATATCATGTTTGTACAGTCACGTGTTGTGCACTACCATAAACTGAAACGCATTGTAGAAGTGCTTTTAAACGGTGTGATAAAATCACTGAAATTTTTCACGTAATTGATAGATAACTATTTATCGCAATAAAAATGAAACATTCTTGAATTATAAAGAAGCGATGAACGATTTCGCATGCATATCGAAATAACATACATTTTTTAAATTAAAATTGTGAAAAATAAAAAAAAAACTCACCCTAAGAATATTAAGCCTATCTGTTTTCGCAGTCATCAATGCAAGGCTATTGTCTACTTTATCCAATGCCTCGAGAAGCTTATGATTCCTTTCATCCCTTGTACGTTGTTCCTCTAAAAATTCTATATATCTTAAGCGCAATCGATTTATACACGCATCGTGCCTGAAATGTCAGTAATTTCATAATTTTTAAATCTGGAGTCATTTCTCGTTTATTTAAAAATTTTTCAAAATAAAATGTTAATAATTGTATGCAAACAAAATGTTTATTTTACCTAAATCGAATTTACCATAGTCTGTTAAATGCCTACGCGATCGAAGAATGTTGCGTGACATTGGCAAAAGATCACAACTTTCCTTGATAGTGTATATATATTTACGTGTGTGTCTGTGTGTATACATATTATATGTACATTGATAGCGGGTACATCAAAATACGAAGACTGCAGTGCCAAATTAACAGAATGTCTATGTTACTTATTTCTATGTATGCGATCGATGTTTACGTAGGTTAAGGCATATTTTAAAACGTAAACACAAAGCATAGGGAATTCATGTTAGAAATCAATTACGAGACAAAGGTTATGTTCGCTTATATTGATTGTGACATTCCTCAAAACTAGGTCGCTTTCGAATCAATACATAATCCCCGAAATTCTTTTGTATTATTATTAGAAGAAACGGAAATAAAATCGATAATGACAGCTATTTATCTATGTATTGTTTGCGAAAGTTTTTCTCGTCGTTTCTGCATAGTGCACGCTCAGCTAGGTAAATCAATTCAGTGCTTTAAGAATTCAGAATTGTCCGCAGAAGCTACAGAATTAATAACACTGGTTTCTGAATAAGTAATTTCAATTTAAATACTCACCTATTGCGAGATTCTTGAACGAGTATTTTAAATCTTTCTTCTAATCTTATTCTCTCTTCTTCGCTATAACAATTGTGCAACAAACGTATGGAATAATTTACAAATATGTTTAAAAATTTTATATATTTCTTTCTAATACATTTGCCTACGAAAAAATTTTTTTCTAAGAAACATGCTCTACTTACCTTTTTCGTAACTTTTCCTGCAAGTCCAGCATTTTTTTATAATAGTCGTAACTATCGTAAAACGATGTCATACTGTACAATTCAATTTGAAACTGATTCAAAAAATCGAAATAATCGATTGTATCGACGTTCGATATTTGGCGCTTATTATGAAAAAGTTTGGTAAGACGTACATGTTTTAATCGATGTTTACAAGCAGCATGACGCTTGGCAAAAATAATAAACGATATTTAGTTATACGATAGGTTGGAAATAAATATTGTTTTTGCAAATGGTGCATATTTATCTTGTTACTTTATACACCTATTACAATTATTAATTCAATATATGAAATGAACGATCACTAAATTCACTGAGCAATGGTTAAAAAAATGTTTAGCATATTACAACGTAATATAGACTTATTTTATTTTAAACAATCACGTAATATGAATAGTTCCAACGATCTTTCTTTGGTTCGGTACTACGAGCAACTGTCGTATTTGACGTCGTACAATGGTAGGGTTGGGGGTGCTTCAGCAGGTAAACACGCAGGTGTTGTCCCTACTCCTGCACTAACGCACGCAATAATAAAATATATATGCAAATAGAATAATGTCTTATTTTAGCTTAATATTTGTAAAAACAAAAAACAACAAAATATTCTATTATTCAAAACTTTTCTAAGCATATCGAAAATTTCAATTTTGTTAAAACAACATACATACGTATTAAATGTTGCGCAATTTTTTACAATAATTTTTTTGAAAATTCAATTGTTTTAAC